ATAAAAGTGAAATATGGGGTTAATATATCAAATGTATACCTAGCTGGGCAATGTCTCTCAGGGAGATAGAGTGTAAGCTTGATAATTGAAGTCATATTTGTCGAAAAATCCATAAATGTGTTGTTTTAGCCTAGCAATTGTTATAATTTGTTTCCAAACTATGCAGCACCATGGCTCTTTGGATGGCAATATGAAACTATTGAATCATTTTTAACCACTGATGGATTGATTAGCATCAAATGGTCCCTACAAAATAAAGTTCAAATCTATCAATGTGTTGAATTTAGTTTTCACATGAGAAATAAACAGCACCTCAAGTGTAAGCATGCTAGCACACCAAATCTAATATCAACATTGTGCTTACAATTAGCATGTTAGCATTGTTTTGTGTCTTGAGGAAATGACCAGTGGGGTGCTGTGCAATGGACACTGGGGGAAGCGGTGGAGTAAAGCTGAGTTATGGTTATTGGTAAAATGTTATTCTGTTATTGGACAGAAGTGAAAGCTGAGGAGAGACATAATGACAGGCACCTTTATAGAATGACATTCTTGTTTTGTTTATTAGATTAACAATTAGTGATGGAGCTGGTTTATTTCCTGTGAGGCCACACATGACTTATATTGATATACTCTCTATTGCCCCCACACACACACACACACACACACACACACACACACACACACACACACACACACACACACACACACACACACTCACAGGATTCCGCCGGGCAGAGCGGAAGGCTGCTCCTGCATGAACTGCATGACATCATATGATCTCATGTCAGAGGCATTGGCTCTGTCACAGACCTGCAGAGACACGACCTGCAGAGACGCACACACAGCGATCAAAGTACTGCAGTATTACTGATTGAATATTAAGGATATCGTTATATATACTATATATTGTTATACATCGTAGGCAATGTAATGTTATTTTATTTTGTTCCCCCCTGGATTGTATTTGATGCGTTTGACTGTTTGTCCTATCCCTGATCCTTTGCTTTGGCACCATATCAATATTGCCAAATTGAAATTGGGATTTCCTCCCATGAGTCTTTTTCTGGTTATTTCATGTTTACTGCAGGGGGGCCCCACAATGGTAGCTGTTTTTCAGGCCCCTGAAGTGCAGGAAACTTAACAGATAGAGAGAGAGAAACAGAACAAAGGAAGGAAGACAGAAAGGAAAGAAAGGTCTCCCTCTTTTGTTTATGTTTTCATTGACCATGGTCTCCCTGGCGACACTTAATTTTCACTTCCTTATTAACAATATGGGCACCAAATGCCCACTCAGCAGATATATCTACTTGTTGCACAATCTGACACATCACAGCTTCCCAACAAAGAGAGCTGCTTGTTGTGAAAGTAACTGTGTGCTTCTCCTGCTTTCAAGGTATAATGAGGCTGTTTGGAAGTGGGGCTGTAAGGTCCATATGAACAGTCAGTGTATACTTACTCTAATCACAATCAGAAACATCATTCCTTTATTTGCACCGGAACGTGGAAATATACTTTATTACAAAAGCAGAAGTATAGTGCAGATAAAGTAAAGAGAATTACAAATAAAAAATAGCAAAGTATGCACACGTGATTAATAATAAAAAACACAATAAGTAACACAAATGGCAGAGAAGTAAACCATGGTAAAAGACTCAGTAGCAGTATATGTTTTGAGTGAACATATCAAATGAAAGAGCTGGTACTGTTGACAGATTTTAATAAATTGAAAGAAAAATAAAGCGTGAATCGCGCAAGTTTATATTGAACAAAGTTGACTATTGACAGGAAGTAAGTGGTGGTCAGCAGATCCCAGCTTGGAAAAGCAGACAGAAGTACCTGCAAAACACGTTTAAGACATCAATATCGCTTTAAGTGTACAATATATTTGGAATACTTACATCACTTTACTTTCATTTGCTGGGATGCAGCTACACAGTTTATGTTTATGACGAGGAATTGAAACTTCTATCTTTGCTCTTGCCAAAGCACCAGACTCCATTAAGACATTCTATTTGACTTCGCAGCACATTACAGTTTCTGATCTGCGACTGCTGGAGATTGGTGAGGTTTCTTTGTGTCTTTGTGTGACTTTGGCAAATCCGAACAAATCTGAACCGAGCAAAGTCACACAATATCACAAACTATAACCAACCGGTCAAGGCAATGGTAGAGAGGCAACTGTTGGTAAATGGTCACTGTAGTTTCTAACAAACTGTATTCAAACAGCAGGAAATAGTGCATTTGTTGGGAGCTTGTCTCCCAGATTGAATTCACATGTAGTAATCTTATAAGTATTTTGGGCAGCAGGACAGTCTATCTTGAAAATGAGTTACAATAAATGACACTGTGTGTGTAATAAATGGTAATAAAAGAACATGTCACAGTGTGGCTCATTGATTTGTTTTAAACAAGAAGGGAGCTGAATGGCACAGAGCAAGAATGTATATCACGCATACACACACATTTGACTAGTTCATATTCTATTGTTGGTTTGCCCATTGTACCAAATTATTTGACAAAAACAAAAATCAAGGATTTTACCCTAGTCACTGAAGAGTTGCCTCTTTATCTGAGACTCAAAATCAGAAATCATTCAAGTTTTGACCTGGTGTAATTCAGGAATGCAAATGAGTAAAAAAGTGACAGGAAGTGCTTGATTAATCATCCCTGAATGAGCTTTACCTACTTATTCTTTAAGGATCTTGGGGGGCTGGATCCCAGCAGACATTGGAGAGTGGTAGAGAACCCTAGCAGATTGACTGTCATGTTGAATCAAATTTCATTTCAGTAAAGGCCTATAGGTGGAAGGGATTTGGCCTGAGCTATATTTTAAAAAGAGGTGTTAAAACTGGATCTATCAGCGGTGTGTTGTTTGGTAGCTAAGAGGCTGGAGTGTTTAGAGTGGAGACGATACTCAGAGAAAATGACTGAAATGTAAACAGGGACTAAACCTGAACACAGGCTGTTGCACAACTCCATACAGGGACCCTTCGCTGTACGTGACCACAGTTTAGTTTTTAAGAAGAGACATACTGTTCACATACAGATATAAGAGTGTGGCGATATATATTGATAATAACCATGATATTTCTCAAATAAAATAGTAATATCATTTAAAAAAAACCTATGTTGCAACGGCTCATTTCAAGATAAACATGGATTTATTAAATACATGTTATGGTCAATTTGGGGTTTTGATTGAGTATAAGGCCTGAAACTTTGGCTAATATTTTGTAAAGGTTTACGGCAAACTTTGAAGGCATTTTTCACATCATTATGGCTTGGTAACAGTCGTTATGTTCTGTGACATATTTTGCGTGCGTATATTGTGTGAAAAAAATCAAATAATGATATCATTAAGATATCAAAAATCTCCTCTTTCCAGCGGTGTATACAACTCGAAACAAATGTTGGGGTCAATGTATTTGATTTTGATATAGCAGGTCACAAGCATATACAGTACGTATATACTGTATACATATATACCTGTGGGGGAAACTTCTGTGTAGCAATGCATCAGGAGTCACAGACTCAAAAGGAGACACAGGGAGAGCTGGAGCTTTGATGGCAAACACTGATGGGTTTATTTGGAGCTTCGGCCGGTGAATTCACAAAACAAGTCCAGAGTCAGAGGTCTGACACCACGGTAGAGTTGCCACTTCAATTCTGAAGAACTCTACCCCAGACCCATGTATTTAGCTAGTTCAGAGAGAATAATCAACATGCTGCATAACAAGATAGAATGACAACACCTCTATCAGCTGACGCCAACAGGCAGGAACAGGGAGACAGAACACTGAGAGCACAGCAGCCAAGGTTACAGGTGCGTGTGCTCAGTCAGGACAGTTTGAACTGATACACTGGGTCAAAGTTATGGGCCTTGGGAATTATTTCCCCAACAATACCTAATTGCATTATCCTTTTGTTTTATTCTTTGTCATTTATGCTCTCTTTAAAATTAGTAAGTAATACACAATGCTCCTATACCGCTCCTGTAGGTTTGAATTGCCCTGACTGTGGTTACACTCACACTGCACAAAGAACACACACACACACACGCACACACGCACACACGCACACACACACACACACACACACACACACACACACACACACACACACACACACACACACACATACACATGTATACATCACTTCAGGGCACATTACATTGATTTACATGCATTTCCTGGAGACTTATCCTAACCTTAACCATAACCAACACATGCCTAACCCTAATCCTTACCCTAAACCTAACCAAGTCTTCACCCTAAAATTAATGATTCCCCTCATGGGGACCTCCATTATGTCCCCATAAGGGAGGTGAGTCCCACATGTGACTGTGTAAACAGATTTAGGTCCCCATAAGTATAGTAGATACTGCGTAGGCCACACACAACCTACACAATACGATTGCACCTTCATCTCAGACTCGTACCGACACCACCACATCATCTCAGTCAACAAACCACAAGCACAGCCAGCTCAAAATACATGATAATCGAGCAGCCTGACAAATGCAGGTACTGGAGACAAACTGCGTCGGGTGTCCTGTCCCTGCGCGATTGTATGGGAAACAGTGTGGTATCAGAACGCATGCTTCCAAACGCCCGACCCCTGACCCGTTACTTAATGTACGTCAAGATACGTTGCGCATATACCAAGGAGGTTGGCGAAGTTTATTTGCTGAAAAGTGTCGCTGATACACAATAAGAAGAAATGAGCAGAATCACACCTTAAAATTATTGTTGGTACACAGATGTTCTATT